TGGACAGACCCAGATCCTCCAGCAGAGACCGGTCCACCGTGGACAGAAATAGATCTGTGTTTTAAACAGTGGTCAAATCTAAATAAGTACATTTTCTCAACTACTGTACTTTGTGCTTGTTCTTTACTTGAGTATTTAGATTTCTGGCTGCGGTACTTCTACTCCACTCGTTCAGCTACTATTGTACTTTTGACTCCAGTACATTTATATGACCGACGTAGATACTTTGCAGATCAAAATTTAACATTTAAAACATCTGATGAGTGTATAAAATAAGATGCAATGCTATAAATTCAGCAGAATGTAAAATAATTGAAGAACAGTTCAACCCTCACCAGCTAACAGTAAAATGCTGCTCACACACATAACAATCAATAATATAATATATGTCTAATATACACAGGGACCATTTTCTGCTTTTACTTCACATACTTTTGATACTTTGAGTACATTTTTGCTGAAAATACTTTTTACTTCCATTGGAAGAATTACATTTTTTAATATTGCAGTAAAACATCTGTTTATTCAAAGGTTAATTGAACTCTTCTTCAGTAAGTATATATTTGAATGATTGTATAATAATCATAGTTATTTAAATAAAATATCGGCATAGAGCCACAGTTTGTTCTCCAGATGGATACTTTGTTGCTCTTTTCTCCCTCGTCTCATATAAAGCTGACAGAATCTGCATAATACGAACAATAACAATGACGAGCCATAAACCCCTCTGTGACTCTTTACAACTGTAAATCTCGCAGTAGTTCACATCGCCTTGGAGAGGAACTACTGCGGTGTCAAGGTGGCCATGACACCGGAAAAAGGAAGATAGTACCTTCAAAATAAAACAAGTAGATAGATAACGAGATAGATGGTTTATTAACCCCGCAAGGGGACATTTGTTCACTACAGCAGCATTATGATATAGGTAACTAAAATAACAGTAAAAATATTAAATATAAAAATGCACAATATATACAATTGAATAGAATAATATTAAATAAACTAACTAAACAATAGTGCAGTGTATAATGCAAACACTAGTATTCTATACGATCTATTATATATTATGTGTGTCTGCCACATTGAGATGGATATTACAATATGCCTCTTATTATTTACTCGCGTCAATGAGAACAAATAAAAATGTAAATAGACTTTAAAGTAAGTTATTGTTTTATTTTGAAGGCCGTCAACCGGAAACGCGTTGCTACACGTTAAGTAACTTGACAGCAGCGGTACCGTTGGCAGCAGCGGTGCCTAGCACCCCAACCACCGGCTGAAATATCACCGCTCCCTCGGTGTGTGCGTGTGTGTGTGTGTGTGTGGGGGGAGCGCCGTCACACCCGGTCCGGAGGTGTGTGTGTCATATTAACAGGTGACCGCACTGAAACTGACCGGGTCGCAGGTTTGTTCCTTCATGTGAGTAACCCTCCTGCAGGAGAAGAGAGAAGACGAGGCTCTGGTCTCACCGCCAAACTCCATTCAAAAATATGTCGTTTTATGTTCGCTTGCTTTTTCCGGAAACGTGCACAGAACGTATGACTCGTTGCACAGTAACTGTGATTCGTTGGACTGTCATGCGTCATTCGGCTTACATGTGATCAATAAACGCGTCTTTAATTCTGAGCAATAATCGTATTGTGGCTTCGGTCGCACTGAGGAGTGATGAGGTGAAATTTCGGGAATATCGGATGAACCCCGCGTGTTTTTAAGAAATGTCAGCGTGGAATTGGCGCCGAATTGTTGAGCTCCTCACATGTAATGAAACGTTTTAACTCAAACTGTTAAACACGCAGTTTTATCGGCGGGTAAGTCAACATTTAAATTGCCCGATTTTTCAGGTGAAGTCTGGCACGGTGCACTTCAGGCGATTCAGACTGGATCCCATGACATCATTGCATGGGCTTTCCCTCAGCAAACGGTTGCTGTTATTTTGGTCCCACCCCCCCCACGCACACAACCCCAGTCGTTTTTTCACGATGTGACGGTAACATTCATGCAGTCGCTCCACGGACTCGACGTACATTCTTCTGAATTCATGCTGTAAATCCTGCACTAAATGAGATTTCTGTTGTGGTCGGATGTTGTCATGAAGGCAGGAAGCTGCTCCGTCCCCGTTGAACGAGCACCCTCATGCATTATTTGTGAAGCTTCTATATTTCACATCACTTTTGCCATCACAGTCATTTTGTATTATTTATAATGCATCACGTATTAGTCGAGGCAGCTCTGCTGTCCTGTATTGGTCTGTCCTCCCAGTGTTTCCACTGATGACTCCAACGCTACACTTACTCTCATGTTTCCATTCAAACAGAATTAATTCAGCATATTAATAGTGATACTCTGCTCGAGGCCACGCTGGTGGTCGTCCCACGTGGCCGAGCGTTCTGTTGTTGTAATCTACTACAATGACATTCGAGAGAGGCGGTTGAGATTAGATTACGTTGTCCTGTTGCCACACAGTAATGGGTTATCTAGGCACATTTCCTCCTGATCGCTATCCAAACGCACAGCTCTGTCTGTCTGGTCGTCTCCTCCTGCAGCGTCCTTCCTCGTTTCCTCACCGCTAATCCCTCCTCTGTCCTCGTGCTTACCTGTCTGCACGGCTTCTACACTGGGCTGGAAGTCATGGAGGAAATATGAAGTTTAAGGACATGTTTTAAAATTCTCTTAATAAGAGGTAAATGTGTTTTCTACATCGTCTTACAAGATGTTGTTCAGTCTGACTGGACCGGAACCAAAACTGGTGAACCTGTTAAGATATTTTCTACCCGGAAACCTAACTAAACCAGGAAGGAAAGAACATTTTGCGATCATGATGGCACCCAAATTAGTTCTGGAAAGTGACCAAAAAGTCAGATAAAACACAATAAAATATGGAAAGATAAATCATGAAAATATGTAGAATATCACTGCACTATTTTTCCTGTTTTACGACCTTATTATTTCAAGTAATTTTTGTGTTCGATGCATTTGCTTTGAGTTCATATTGCTAGTTTGAGAAACTGATATTTAATGGCTCGGAACCAGGCGGCAACCTCTGGTTCTGAAAAGTGAAGTCAATGCTTCAAGTGTTAAAGCTGCATTCTCTCTAGTGTCCACCAGGGGGCGACTCCAGCAGGGGATGCTTTAGGGTGGGGCTACACAGTGATTGACAGGTCTCTGCCAGAGACGTATACGATGAGTGACGTCACGACAACTGCATCCACTTCTTACATACAGTCTATGCTTGGAACACTAGTTAACAGTTTGTTTGAATTCTTCAGTTTGAGGATAATTCAGACTTCCAATCCAGACTCGGTTGCCCAAGAGACTAAACGTAACCCTGTTATTTTCTGTCTTCTTTCCCTTCAGACACGGAGAGCTACGTCAATGGGAATCCCCAGGCCAGCCCGGCCCAGTCTCCCCCAGCTCCTGGAGCCAGAGTCCAGTCTGAGCACAGTGCGATCGTCAGCTCCATCGAGAAGGACCTCCAGGACATCATGGACTCTCTGGTGATGGACGACCCCCAGCCGTCTTCCTCGGAGGGCAGAAAGCCCGCCGGAGGCCCATCCATTGCCCACTCCCCACTGTCGCCCATGGTCAACGGCGGTGGTCGGTATCTGCTGTCCCCTCCCACCAGCCCCGGCGCCATGTCTGTTGGGTCCAGCTACGAGAACACATCGCCTCCCTTCTCCCCCCTATCCTCCCCCTCGGCAGCCAGCAGTGGGAGCTTCACAAGCCCGTCTCCTAGCGGAGGACCCCAGGACCAGAGTTCTTGTCTGCTGCCGCCAGTGCCTGTACGCTCCTCTAGCTACAACTTCACCACCGCCCAGCCTCCGCCCGTACCCCAGCCGCGGACCATACTGCTGAGCTTCAGCAGCGGTGGGGTGGGCCAGAAGGTTCAGGATAGCCCCCGGCTGCAGAGGAAGGTCCTAAAAGAGGCCCCTCAGAGCCCCAAGCCGAGCCGCAGAGGACTAGGCCAAGAGGGGTCAGAGAGCCCTCGACTTCTGTCCTCTAATGAATCTCTGAGTGGCAGAAACATTGTGCCAAGTAGCCCCAGACACACTCCCAAATTCCCCACCTGTCCATCCCCGTCTCCCTCCAGTCCCAGGACCAAGACGACCACGGTGCTCCAGGAAAGGCCTGCGAGCCCTTTCAGAGACCAGACCAGTCTAGCTGATTGCATCTCCAGGCAGCTTTCCCAACCCGCCAGAGCCTTCCAGCCGCCCTTGGACCCCATCGTCCACATCATTCAAGGATCACCGCTCCAGCAGCATCATCCTCGTTCGCTGCAGCCCCCCGAAAGCCCTCGCATGGCCAGGAGGAACATGGAACTGAACGGCAGCGGCAGCAGTATGAGGGAGCTGCCGCCTCTTAGCCCCTCCATGGCTCGGAGAGGGGTCCCGGTACTTCCGGGAGCGATCCCTACCTTGAGGACTCCGGAAAGCCCCTCGAGTTTGGGCAAGCTTATCCCAGAGAGCCCCAGGCTCCGACGCAGGTCCGGATCCACATCGGAGGAGCCCACGTGCGGCAGGGGGATCCGAGCCCGCAGTCCGTCGCCGACCTCCATGATGATGGAGGGTGGCGGTGGTGGATCGGGAGCACGCAAGGCGAGCTTTGGGAACTCCCTGTCGCCCGCTTACAGTCTGGGCTCCCTGCCCGGCTCGTCTCCCCTGTCGAGCCCCAGGAGCCACAGGAAAATGTCCGCGGGGAGGCCGCACCCCGGGATGAGGGAGCGGAAGAACAGCATCTCGGAGATCAGCGACAATGAGGACGAGCTGCTGGAGTACCACCGACGACAGCGAGAGGAGAGGCTCAGAGAGCAGGAGATGGAGAGACTGGTGAGTCTGGATCACACGACAAACTGTTATTTAGTTTGTATTTAAAGAAGAACACATTTACCCGATACGTCACAGGGTTTGAACCCTCGTCTTGCTCATGACTTTGGGTCAGTTTTACAGTCGAGTTTTGTTTCTGATGGCATCATTCCATCAGGGTGTTCAGGTTAAGACGGATACTTTAATGCTGGTGTTATCATTCCACTAAAAATAGTGACGGTTCATCAACCTTGGGAGTGACGAAACTCAAGGTTTTCCTTTGAGGAAAACAAAACTTGTAGCTGCTTCTGTTCCAGTTCAGTTTTTTTTTGCTACATCGGCTGAAGAATATTTAAGATAAATAAGTGAACTTACCAAAGTCTTGTTTCTCAGAACTCATGACGGGAATGAGAAGATTGTTGAAACATTCATTTAGTTAATTTTGGTGTTTTGAGGTTCACAGAATGGGGAAAGCTACAAAATCTAGAAGTCACGGTTCGGTATGCTTTTGTTTCAGCGGGGAAACCAAAAATATAAATTATGAATTGATTTTTATCTACGGTGGCTCATTGGTCACAATTCTTACTGTAACAGTTAAGGCACTCACGTGCTGGGATATTGTTACTAAGAAAAAATAAATAACAGAAATGACAGAAGATGCTCATGTTTACTGGAACTATTCTACACGAGTAGTTTGTAAATATTGTTTCTTGTCCGAATGAGTCTGTTGGAACGAGTTTAATGCAGATTTGAATAAAGTAATAGATATGATTTCATATTTAGTTTGACAGAGAACACTTCAGTGTGTCGTGAGAGGATTAGAAGAAGACCTTCGTTAGTGTGATCGTCACTTGAACTTGTCTGCCAGTCTGAATGAAACTGGCGTGGTGTTTTCCGTTCCGTCACTTCCTGTTTCCTTCACCTACATTCCCCTGGGTCCTAAGCCCCTCCATGTACCAACGTATATTTATAACAAATACCACACATATTACGGTAATCAGCGTTGCATATGTGTCTGACCAAAATACCTTTTGTTGTTCAGTCTTTGTTCATCCTGCATCGCTCTTTTCTGTTCTTTAATGTAACGTTACTGGAGCGACAGAGCCTCTCCCAGCTGTTAGCAGACTGTTGTTAGCTAGCTGTACCCAGCATGCAGTTCGGCAGTGAAATTTTATAAATATACAATTATTAGTGTCACAAACTATTGTGTGTGGTGTTTTGCCGTGTTAAAGAGCGTTAGTTGTGGGTTGTTAATTGTTGTTATAAAGTTATAACCATGACTAGGGTTCCCTCTCAATACAGTTAAGACAACTACCTCCGACCATAGCGCTTACAGTCTATTGTCTGATCTACACTCCGGAGCAGAAGGTGGCGGTAATGCACCAATAAGATGGACACCAACCGCCGTAAAACTAGAAGAAGAAGTAGCACTTCCAGCGGCGAACAATATATTTTGCTGCCTATCGAAGAGCGACAGAAGTTGTTTCGGCTGTGCACCGGTATGACGGTATATGAAAAATTCATATCGGACACGAAATTAAAAACGGGTACCGCCCAGCCCTAGCGTGATGTCCAAACGGTGAGGCAGCGTGAGGTCCACACAATGAGGCAGCATGAGGTCCACACGATGAGACTGTTTTTAACCCTCAACGGTGAAGTGCTGAAAGCTGCAAGAGACCTGTCAATCACAGTAGCCCCGCCCTAAAGCATCCCCTGCTT